CTACTTTTGTGTGTGTATGAGCTAAGACATTGTGTCAAATCACAATTATTTCATGAGATTTGAAACCCTTGTCTTCTTAAAATCTCAGTTTCATATGAATGAGTAGGGTAAGATTAAAGTCTTCTGTATCTATGTAATTTTGATTGTATGAACAAAGCTGAAAAATTGATGTTTCATATGTTCAAAACCTAGAAGAGACCAGGAGAACATCTTCTCTGACTTTTTGTATGTACTATAGGTTTTAAACATTTCAAATAGTCACCAAGAGATTCAGATAATGAATCTGATATTCCTGAATCTTCATCTACTTGGAGAACAGATAGTAGCAGAGGCTTTACCTGAAGATTCCTACCACAGAAAATTTAATCACCTCTCTGGTAGTTTGTTGCAATGATTTATTGTCATAATTGTTAGAAAAAACTACCTATTCCTAATTTAAATTTGTTTGGTTTCAGTCTGTAATAATTATTATATTGGACTCAGACTCTTGCATAAAATCATTTTCTTCATCCCCCAAATATTTTTCAGATCTTTATTTTCCCCTAATTTTTTAATGATCCTTTTTTTAGAAGGGCAGCAATAAAACAGCATAAAGCATTCTTAGTTTGTTCTCCTCAATGCAGAATATAGATAGAAGTATGTGGCATTATTCTTACTCACCTCTGAGGACTTTACAAGGGCTTTTGGGTCTTCAATTTTTTGACTCAATTAGACTCCAGTCTGCATGTATCTGATCCTTAAATCCTTTCATAGTTGCTGCTTTTTAGGATATTTTTCTATGTGCCATGTCCTACATTCCTCATTCACATGTGAAGCTGCTCAGCTTTACACTTAGCTGCCTTTGAACACAACTTGTTTAAATGTGCAAGTGACTAATATAATGACTTTTCTGTCATTATTTGCAACCTTAGTGTCATGGACATGTATTTACATCCAAATTTTCTGTGAAAATTTTGTGCGGTATCAGTGTTTGTACCAACCCGAGGCAGAACTTCCCTGCAAAATGCCGGTTCTGCATTCACAACTACATTTTATTACAGATAAATTATTTTTCCTTCAGGTATCAGGTTTTATTTCAGGAAAGGTATGCCCTCCTTATTCTGGTACCTTCAGAAAATTTTATAGTAAAATTAAATTAGGTTTGTCTGACAAAGTTCATTTTTTCATAAACCCATGTTGCCTGCATTATATTCCTGATTTTCTGTAGTTCATTCTCATATCATCTGTTTTATTATTTCCCTGGGATATGCATCAAGCTAGTCAGCTTAGCTGGTATACCTGGCTTTGTCTTATGAATATTTCAAGAATCCTTTTTCAGACTTTCCAAATTTTCATGTTATTCTGAGGCTTATTAAATGTTAAGAGCTAGTCAACTCTTTCAAAATTATTAGGAAGAAATTGTCTAACCTGACAGATATATGTTCCTATAAAACACCTGTTTATCACCTTCCTCAGTTGCTAGTGGCTTGGAAAGTACTTTCTCATCTTTATGTAACAAAAGTATATTTTCTCATTCTTTGTTTGGGTTGTTTTTTTTTGTTTTTGTTTTTGTTTTGTTCGACTTTTTTTTTTTACTTTACAAGACATAGAATCCTTGGCTTGCCTTATCAGTTTTCTTCACTTCTCTTTTCACTTCCATATCTGTCCTCCAGAACTTCATTACTTTTTCCATCCTTATGCCTCTGCCTAGCAATTCACAGAGACTAAGAATCAGTCACGTAAACCTCACAGGCACACGAACAGACCTCTCTTGATTTGTTCAGCTTCTCAAAACTCAAGCCACACAGCTCTCACTGAGACAGGCAGACAAACATATCAAACACACAGCTTGCCAAATCCTTTTATATCCAAGAAGACTGGCAGCTTTGAAACGATTTTTCCCCCCACTGCTTTTTATCTGTATTGTTGGGTTGTTTGGGTATTTACATCTCTGTCCAGCTTTACTGAATTTTAATTGGAGCACTGAAATGTTACAGAGCATGACAGCCAAGAAAGAATTGTTAAACAATAGTAGTGATAAAATCCTATTAGTGCTAATAAATTACTTTTGGCAGCCATACTTCCAGTTTTGGGAAGGGAAGATTGTTCATGAAGTTTTACCAGCTTCCCACTTTGGATCTTCTCTTTCACCCAGGTCCTAAGTTCTGTCTGTTTTTGATATTTGTAAACATTATTTTGACAGAGTGATTTCCTATACTCTTATTCAAAATGATATATTTTGTTGTATGTACTTATGTATTAAACTGCTCCTTGCACACTTTTACAGGGAGATACATTGTAAATGGGTATTCAGATATAACTAATTATCAGAATATATGTGATTAGGAGCTCCTGGCCAGGGTTAAACCATGACAGTCCTCTGCCTTTTCAGGTTGATATGTGATTAATCAAAACAATTGTTTTAGGGTTTGACCGGTTTAAAATATATTTATTTAGATTCTTAAATTTGTTTTGTGGTAGAAAATGCTTAAAAATTCATTACTTTTTAATAAAAAAAACTACTTGTGTTTTCTCTCAAGTGGGATAGAAACTAGAGAGCAACTCAATGCATAGAGTGAAATTTCAAGTCTTCTTACTGAGTTAAGTAAAGGTACCATGAAATATGATGGACACATATACAATAAAATGTATCAAATATATTCAAATGTTAAATGACTGATTTATTACAGAAAATAATTTTAAAACCTGAAAACAGTAGGACAAATTTTCAAAGGTATCTATTTAATCATGTAGTTGATGTCTGGTGGGATTTTCAAAATCACAGTATTGCTTTTGTGTATGTTTATGTATATCTGAAAATGTCACTTGGATTTAAGTCCATATTTTAAGTACCTACATAAGTTGAAAACACCTTTGTGACAGCCTTTTCTCTCACTTTTAAATAAGATTTACTAATTTTTCCCATTACTTTATATTGGTATACTTAAAGAGATAAATAATGATTTCAAACCCAAAGTCAGCTTTCCAAACTCAAAACCAGAAAATCTTCTGCGTCTTCATTACTGATATTGAGATCAAAAGTAATTAAAGTAAAAAACGTCTGCACTGTACTTACATTAAAATAGATAAAATAATATTATAATAGCTGAAAATTAAGTTATTCAGAACCTGTCATCACATTGGCCTAAAATTAGATATTTCCCCTTTTACCTGTTGTGAACACTTTGGGTATTTCACTGAGTGTTGCTTTACTTTGGAGGCTGTTACGTAGAAGATAACCAATAGGCCAATTCTATTGCCCCTCTGTAACCACTGCTCATATGTGTAATGTTGGTTATTTAACATGGAGATATTTGAAATGTCAGTGTTGCTAGGTATTTAACCTTTTCTATTACAGGATCATTCTGTACATAATACAGCACAAGTTTGTTTCTTGTGACTGCAAAATGCTTTCTACATAATAATGAATTCAGGAATCAATTACTTTATGGCTACCCAAAAAGATCAAGAAAAGGATGTCAGTTGGCCAAAAAAGCTAAAAACCAAATTCTATCTGATGATCTGACAGAACAGCAGAGCTCATTAATACAGAAATAACAGTAATTATCAAGTTGTCTTCATGTAACTTCTGAAAAGGCTTGCTTACCCTTTTTCTAACCAGATGATTGAACTCAGATTACATATAAGTGGCTGAATAATCAAAGACAAAAAATGATCTCAGAGTCAGTTCAACTTGTAATTGCAAGCAGTCTGATTCACACTGGTCCTTCTTTGGGCAGGAGTTGGACCAGATGAAATCCTGAGGTCCTTCCACTCAAAATAATTCTGTAGTTCTGTGCTTCTAGGACAAGAGGGCACAGACTCAAGCTCTGCCAGGGGAGGTTTGGGTTGGATATTAGGAAGAGATTTTTTACAGCGAGAGTAATCAGGCATTGGAATGGGCTGCCCGGGGAGGTGGTGGATTCACCATCCCTGGGGGTTTACAAGACAAGACTGGATGTGGCACTTAGTGCCATGGTCTAGTAATGGCGATAGGGTTGGACTTGAAGATCTTTGAGGTCTCTTCCAACCTGGTTGATTCTATGGTTCTATGATACTGAAGCAGTCTGCAGGGATTTTGGAAGGTGGGGCTAAAGTTCTTAGATCAATTCAGTAGGAAGTGCAGATGTATTTCACCCTGTCTTATGTCAATGAGACTGAAAGTTTTTTTGTCTGTTACTTTGGTGGTTCACTGATTAGTAAGTATACTACTTTTGTGTTACTGACAACACAGTTGTTGCAACATTCCAGCTACCATAGGGCTTTATATTGACAGGATGAGTGACTCCATAATATTTAGAATTTTATTTTTGCATATGAAAGTCAAATGATTGTGCATTCAGAACTTATAAACCAGCATTAAAGAAGAGTATTCTAGTTTATATTTAAAAGGTGATAAACAATCAGCTCTAAGACTTTAAAGTTTAATCATGTTATTCATGTTCAGTGAAAGTTCCTTGATGCATAAAGGGTCATATAAGTTGTAAGAACTATGGAGCTTGAATAGTTGGGAGGCATAAACCTAAATCCTTTTATGATATTCATTTCTACTGAATTAAAATTAGGTAGATTCAGATAATTATCTGACTAACAACGAGCACTGGGTTAAGCTGATGTCCCAGGAAAGTCAAAGAACTGTATAAAGTGAATTCAAATATGTAGGATGTACTATCTGTCAATACTTAATCTTTTTCTCTTTCCTGGCTTTTACAAAAGTTAGAACTGAATAGATATGCTAAGAGCAATGTTTACCTTTTCCACTATCTCAGTAGGAAAAAAGAACTTTTCCCATTAATCAGATAAATGGGTTTTAGACATTTTATTTGGTGCACTCTAAATTACAAGAACACTAAAAATTAAATATTATAAACTGCTTAATATCTGAAACATCTGAAGCTAAGATATGTAGGAATATGCTGCTGCACATACTAGCTTATCTGTTTTGCTTATAGTGACTTTCCCCTCATATACAATGCACACAGTAGCTCTGACTTTCTTTGGTTTTGTGCTTTTCCTTTCAGGTTTGGATATATTCTTCACAAGGATGAGCCTGTGCTTCAGAAAATTGATCTAGAAACGATGTCATACATCAAGACAATTAGTTTAAAGGATTATAATTGCATTCCTCATGCACTGGCTTATACACATCTTGGAGGATATCTTTTCATCTGCTGTAAGCCTGATACTACTGGGGCTGTCCTACCACAGCTTATAGTGGATAGTGTTACCGATTCTGTGATTGGATACAATGGGGACGTAACAGGCACACCTCATATCTCTCCAGATGGACACTACCTTGTCAGCATTGATGATGCAAAAGGTCTCATGAGGATCCAGTCCATAACAACAAGAGGAGAAATACAGGATGCATTTGACATTCACACTAATTTGCACATATCTGATGTAGCTTTTCAGCCATCATTCACTGAAGCTCATCAATACAATGTCTACTGCAGCTCCAGTACACAAACTGATGTTCTCTTCATGGAGCTCTCCTCTGGCAAGGTTAAGATGGTGAAGAGTCTGAAGGAGCCTGTCAAGGCAGGAGAATGGCCTTGGAACAGTAAGAACCGTCTTATAAAAGACAGTGGCCTTTTTGGTCAGTATCTCATGACCCCTTCCAAGGAATCTCTGTTTATCCTGGATGGACGGCTCAATAAGTTAAATTGTGAAATCACTGAAGTTGAAAGAGGCAACACAGTAATTTGGGTTGGAGAAGCATAAGGATCTGTATTAGATATTTACTGAATTAATAGTTTTACAATACATTGCACTTAAATTACACCATTCTTCAAATTTAAACAATTCTAATTTTAAATCATTAGACCATTCTATACCTGTTATTTCTTTGACTTGAACACAATTTGAATCAACTTCCACATAAATGTTGCTACAAGAATGGTTATTTGATAATGGTATTCTATTAATTATCAGCTGAGATTCTATTGTTTGACTGAAATGACTAAATATTGAAATTGTTGATAAATGTAATAAATTGCTTTAAAGGAAGTAGGAAAAAAACACCCCAAAAAGCTTTAGGGATTTTGATATGATACTTTGCATTTCTAAATGGAAGAATTACATATGATTCAAATTTTGGTTTGATTTGCTTCAGACACAAAATAAGAGCTGTTGTACAACCTTTGACTCCTGAAATGGAAATGTTATGTCCTGTTTTGTCCAGTCCACTGTTAAATATTTTTGTGCCTTGAAGCGAAAGTCTCACATGAAAGATAAAGCAGAAATTCTATAATTTATTCCCACTGTGGCTACAGGATTTTCAGTCATTGAAAAGAAAGTTTTGGTATTAAATTTCTAGTATCAAGTTGTGGGACATACATGGAGAGAAAAAAGATAAAAGAGAAATTATATTTGCAGTGTTTTCTGATCACTGCAATTTGGAGTTTATTTTTATGCTGAGTCTTAGTTGAGAGAGCTGCTTGCAGAAGCTTAACCTTTTTTAAGAAAAAATGAGGTTTTTCAGCTATCACAGGGTTGCATCAGCAAGGAGTTTCAGTTCCACTGAAGAGAAATATTGCACATCCTGTTAGAATAATCCACATTCTAAAATCCTGGCATCACAAAGCGTCACTTATATCATTGACAAAACTCTTACTTAAAAATAAAGAAAATGCATTTTAAGAAAATGAAAATGCAAAGAACCGAAGTCTACAACCAGTAGATAACATTTTTGCTTATTCATTGTACCATTGATCCGTGTTTGTTAAACCATTTTGTTAGCTCAACAGGTTTTCTATTCCATGCATCCAATTGGATTAGTGCAAAAAAAAAAACAACCAGACAACAAAAACTTTGTATTTTTTATAGTTTGTTTACTTAGAATTCTAATATTAACAATGGTTAAACATGTAAATGGGAAAAAGATTCCCAGAAGTAGAATAACAAGTCACTAGGATCAGAAAGCCAGCAGTAAACAACTATCCAGACTTAGAGCAATGACTTAAAAGTTTTGGAATATTTTTATTTTTATTATGTTTTTGCTAAAGAATGCTTAGAAGCTCTTAAACTGACCTCCATTTACTGAAGGCAATCAGAAAAAAAAATCTTTTTTTAAACAAAATTTTACTGCAATTTAGATTGTGTAAAATTGCTTAGAAGTCTGGAATTTTCTAGCATTGTAATCTTGTGTGCATTTAGCATCCTGCCCTGTGTGGTACAGTAGATCTCTCTTTAGCTTGAGCAAACCTCCTGGTAGGTAGATTTAACTGAGATAAGAGTTTGCTTACATTTCTGACTACTGACTCTGTTTTCCTTTTTAACAACTCTTCTCCATTGTGAACAATCAAGAATCATGTAACCTGTCTGTTACTCACTTATTTGCAGTAGTCTGCCTCATGCTTTTTTGTTCTGTAATTTATACCACGTGAATGTTCTGTATGTAGAAAATGCTTGACAAAAGGAGAATAAACCCCATAAATTTTAAACAGTCATGACTTTGGTGAATGGTCCAATGTAGCTACACTTAAGTGGCAAGTAACACAGACTTTATTTGAAAGTGCCTATAATTTTTATATATATATGTATATGT